AAAATCTAGAACACGATAATGAAAATGACGATGTTTAAAACTCGCCAAAAACTCATCACTGGCGTTATCTACTGGGGAAAACGTTCGTTAGTTTTCTGAGTACCATTTTTTCAAAGACAGGGCCGTTCAGTTTTCAAATTCAAGAATCCGGATAATTTTAGGGTTGTTTTCAATTGATCAGGACGAAAAAAAGTTTCACAGAATTTCTCTCACTGTTTGACACATTTGAGGGCCACAACAATTATAAAAACAAAAATGCATACGTGTTCCCTATTATTCATTTTTATGTCAGATGTATTTTTTTTCACTAGCCATCCCAGATTCAAAAATAATCACCACAATCAATCCAGAATTGACGAGGTTATACAAATTTTTTTCATCACCTGAAAAATATTGAAATTTCGAATTTCAAAGTCTTGATTTCCTGTACCTATAGGAGTGTTCTAAATGTCAAGTGTTATTCGCTAAATATTTGGAATAATTACAGTTGAAATTGAGAAAACTTTCATTATTTTTCAATATATCATATATCAGGACATAAGACGAAGCAATATTTTGAGCTACATGTTAGGAATCATCTCTCCAACCTAGTGATCACAACTCACAAAACAACGTTGGAGTTCGTCAAGGAATGATTTTTTTATTACTGTAGGTATAATAAAAAAAATACAATAAAACCTATTTTTCATAAATTCATAAATTCATTCACATAACCATAATTTTTTAAAACCTGCTTCTCAGTGGAATATTGAATCTTTTATCATAATAATCAAATCACACACATAAATGCCATCGAACAACAACCAATAATCTTTTTTAAATCATCACACCCTTACCTCCTTTACCATTTAAGCACAGAATTATATCTTCTAATCTTGTATTATGTTACATTGATACAATGTGTATCTGATCAATAAAATAACTAGATAACTTATCATCAAACCAAACTTCTTCAACATTACAATAAACTATTTTCCAACAGCAGTTATTATAAAAATACCGTTTTCGAAAATAATTCAAAATAACATTAGATCAAATCATCAGTCTGGAGTTCTTAAGAAACTTCTCATGCTGTTTCAATTTTTCGTTCGAAAAAGTTAAATAAACTGCCTGCAATTGTTGCTATGGCTTTGTTCATCACAAAATGTGTCCTAAATGTAATCACTTTATCTATCTTTCAATGGTCATAAAATAGCGATGTTTTGAATTTATAGTTCAAGTAAACGGTATAGTGTAACACACTCTCCAACAGCTACTCTTTAATAATATAGTGAGGGAGCTGATTAGTTTCCTTATTCAATTCAATCATTTCTGATTATATAAGAATCACAATAACTATATAAAATTTATGTGTTACTGTAAATGTACACTCTTGGGAAATGTACACTTTTACCGTAAAATGTATATATTTCCCAAGAAGTTAGGTATATGTGAACTGAATATAATGTATATGTACATTTCCCGGCAAATGTGTACTCTTGCCTTCACGTTTTGGTAAATGTATACTCTTACCTTCATGTTATAAGAAAAGTTGGAATACAAATAAAGTAAAAAAATATTTATTTAAATGAATATAATACAAAAGGCTTTAATAACGAAAATCATTTTAATTGAAAAATGTAAATGACAAACAAAACATACTTTTCTTTGCATATTATATAATATATCGTAGGTTATAATCCCAATATTCATAAATACAATTTTTGTCCTAGTTTTTCAGGACCAATACGATGGGAATCAAACAAATAATAATAATAACATACTTCTATTTATTATAACAGTTGAATTTTATAAAACTATAAAGAAACATATAGAAATTTCATAATGAAAAAAGTTTTCTTCATTTGAGCAAGAATTGCTATTGTGGCACTCGTAATTACATAATATTCCAGCATTTTTACAACTGCATTTTTTCGAGGAACATGTTCCTTTACAGATACATCTTTAAAAACCTTGTCCACCAGTATTCCTATAATTTCTCTTACCGATTTCTCAACATCTTGAGGAACATCTTCGTATGATATAAACTTTTGTTCGCAAATCGCGAATTCAAGCCTAGAATAAGATTGTTTTAGAACTTTAGTTCCTGATTCATATAAATTTTTTTCCTCATCTCTAGACAAAACAGCGCAAATTGATTGATTTTTAAAATTTTTCCTTGCTTTCTTTCGAGTATTAACAATTGAAATTGTTAAAATTGTTCTCGTTTAAAACACAATTTAACTCAAAACTTCCATGTTTATCTTCAATTTGGTTGCATAATAAACCATCATTCAAAATTATATCTAACGTTTCGAAGGAAAATTCATCGTTTTCTGCGACTTTGCTAGGTGGTGAATTAGTACTCCTTCTAGTAATTGCTCTAACTTTTCTTCTGTTTCCAGCTGTTCAACAGAGTCCATAGGTAAATTTGATGTTTTCAAACCCAATTTCTTTCTTATTCCGAATAAAGCTTTATACCCTCATGAAAAGCTCTATTTTTCATCAGTTTGAAATATTTTAAACCTTCTGATCACTTGGTCACATTACTAGCACTTGCGATTTCGTATTTTGTATGCTCACATTTACCAAAACGACATGGACATTATGAATTCAAGGTGTAAATGTTATTTGATTGCATATTACCCAAACGAGTAGGCAAATGTGCACATTTACCTGAAGATGTGTACATTTACACTCAATAACTTTCATATTTGTATAATTTCCTGGACCCGGATGTCACGCAGGTAGCTATAGCTGCCTCCGTGGTGATTTTGATAGTTTTCTTGTGAACACGAACACCCTGAAAAAACTAAAAGAGAAGAATTAAAAATGAATAGCTCAAAATAACAATTATATTAAGCAAAATAAACCTGAAATGAAAGAATAGTGAAATAAACTACAAGTAAAAATAGAACAATTGATTAAATAAAAATAAAGGAATGAAAAAAGAAAAAAATATAAAAAGTGGAGAGATTCCAAGTCACGTTAGTTCACGACGTTTCGATTGTTACTATCTACAATTGTCTTCGGGTGATGACCACGATCTACGATTGTAATAGTTTGTTTCCCTCGAAACCAAACTTGAGATGTAGATTCTTATATAGATTGAAATATACCTACTGTCTGTGTTTGAATATTCAAATTCATCCGAAGCTTATTCACTGGTATCTCTTTTTCGCATTGTTCACCATCGCTATTGGAATCAGTATACTGGAAAAAGTCTGAGTCGTTATCACACTCGTTATTATTATTAGTACTTGTCCAAGGACGCCACATTTTAAAAAGCTAACAAAAATTTTAATTATAACTGCACCAATATCGAATTTCAACACTCAAATCGCAATCAGTTCCTGAACTGAACACCACGGCGATAACCTTCACCAATTTCTATTCGTCATCGTAAGATGACTTCAAATTCAATTTTATGACTCTTCAACCAATCATAAAACTCGGTTAGTAAAAATTATCCAATACGAACCGCCAAGTCTACAGTCCACGTGGACTAGTTTGCTGCCGGTTCATTTCTATGAATTGGTTTTTTGGCATTTGAGAGTGCCGACAACTTTAAGAGTACACAATATCGTTTACTTCGACTATACCTGCCTACCTATATACTATGAATATTGACAATTACTTGGTTTCTTTTGTCTTTTTACGTTTAGTTGACACTTGCAAACCTCCAAGTTTCATTGTATTAACTGAATGATGTTACTATTCCATGGAATAGTTGTCAATGTTACAATTGAACGAATAAACAGTTTTTCGGTAAGTTCGAAAAATGGAATCTTTTTTTTAGAAACTTCAGTATGCATCTGATCATTCGCGTGTTCGAAAGTTTGACACAAACGTTTTTCATAATGCTATTAATTTCCAATTGCCCTCGCAGGTAGGTTGATATTTCAAACGTTTCCAAAGGTAAAGCAAAAAATGCGCCGTACTTAAGCAAAGGTCATGAAAACCTAGAGAGAGAAAGACAATCAGACTGGTAGTGGAAGGTACCCCAAAAAAGTATCTGCCAGCATGAGGTCATCGAAAAGACCTTCATTCTTCGTGACGTAATATATTTATAATGAAAGAAACACCTAACAACCGTTTGTAACAGCGTTGCCGTACCTCAATTTTATAATATTGCATTATTTTGCCATCATAAAAATTGTCTCGACGTAATACGATCAGTGAATGAGAATGAAAACGAAATGCCTCTTTCTCACCTTCATTTTAACTAGAAAATGGATTGAAAATGAATTATCTGTTTACTTGTTGTTGATGTGAAATATCAAATATTTTTGGTGACCACGTGTATTGAACAATAAATAAGAAATCACAAGAATTAGACCGGCAAAAAAATTTGACTGACAAAAAATTGATATTTCCGGCCGAATCATATTGAGAAATGGCCTCTAATGAAAGATAAAAATACCCTCAAACCGAGAATTAACCCACACTAGGCAACACTGGATGGCGAGAACATCGCGCACAGTTCTAACGTCCATTCCCCTTCTTGGAGTGTTGCCAACTTGTGATGAATAGCTCGAATATTCATATCTGCTTAATTCTCGTTTTTTACTTTTTTTGTTAGGTTGATATTATTCAACGTGTTTCGTCAATATTGAGGCAAAATAGTTTTTCGATATTTCATTCAAATTGTCAGTCTTGAATCACTGTGTACTATTCTGATACATGATACATCACATAAATATTTTATGCATTTCTTCTTATTCTTATAGAATACGGCAACATTGTATTAGCATTTCACTTGTGTTAGTGTGCTGCTAGTCAGCTGTGGACGTTTTGATATTGAATAATTGTGCCTTATTTTTACAGTATTCTGTGGAAAATTGAAAAGAGTGAGTGAGTAGAGTGCCCTTAAGTGAGTGTACAGTGTCTTCAAAGAAGCATTGGGGGTAGTTTATCTACTACTATATCGCCTCACAGTGAACAGTAGAGAAAGCGTTTATTAGTGACACACCCTTTGGCGTTAGAATTGGATAAGGTATTTCGTATATTGAGATTACAAAATGGCCTATCAGCATCAGAATGGTCCTCCTCCTCCTGGGCCCTACGCACCCCCTTATGAGCCGCAGGCTCCTCCCCAATATGGTGCCCCACCTTATGGGGGTCAGGGGCCGTATCCGCCGCAACCCCAACCTCCATTTCAACAACAACCCCCATATGGAGGGCAACCGCCCTACGGAGGGCAACCACCTTATGGCGGACAACCACCTTATGGAGGACAACCACCTTATGGAGGGCAACCACCCTACGGAGGGCAACCACAGTACGGTGGACAGCCACCTTATGGTGGACAACCTCAATACGGGGGGCCTTATCAGCAACCCCAGCAATCTTCCCAGGATGATGACTGTTGCAAGTGGTGTTGCGGTCTAACCTGCCTTTCTTTGTTGTGTTGTTGTTTAATGAACAATGATTAATCAGTGTGATAGGTAAATCTTTTCAACTTAGTGTGGTGATTGTGGCTGATTATTTTTTCCATTCGACCTTTGCTGGTGTATTTCTTTGTAAATGAGCCCGATCTATTACACTTTATGTAAATATACTACTTTTAGATGTAAGTAAATAACAGCGGTAGAACCTCAGGCGTATAATGAATCCATTACAAACACTGCGTTCACACAGCAAAACTGCAAAACTTTTTTCAACGAGTGTTTCAGCAAACAATTTAGCGGCATCAGAAGATAACAACAGAGTGTTGCAGTTTTGGTGTGTGGAAACATTGTTTATGTTTATGTGATAAGTATATTATATATTTACTCCAATTTCAAAGAGGCCCACAATTTTAGTTTCATTTGCCAGAAAGGTTGCTTTCTGTCAGCTAGCATATATTTCAATAAATTTTGTTTTGGTCAAGTGATTTTTCACTCATCTATTCAATTCTTGTTTGATTTGTTGGCAGCTGAACATCCTGAAGGAATGTGATGGAGTTGGTCGATACTTGATGAAAATTTAAACATATTCAAGAAACAATATTGTGAGAAATGGAAAACTGAAATATATTTGTATTGCAACACTGTGTGGTGTGTCATCATCATATAATTGTTACAATTCTATTCAAATAACTCAAATCACTGCACAAATTCGAAGGTCTTCAACAAGTATTTCTATTCCAAGAAACATTTTTGACTGTATATATTGCAATCAAAGCTTTTTTTATCAATGTATGTACTATGTAGGATTATATGGAATCGAACAATATCCATTCTTCCAATTCATGTTAATTCAATTGAATATCATTATCTGATGTCAGAAAAACAGTTTAGTCATGTGTGAAAACCTATCTTTATGTGAATAATGAAAATTTACTATTTTTTTAATGAATTCTCAAAAGTTATTGGTTATATTCAATTGCTATTCTTCCAATTCATGTTGCTAATTGAATATCACTATCTGACGTCAAAGAAAAGATTATTTGTGTGTGATGAGCTATCTTTATGTGAATAATGAAAATTTATTTGATAAGCTATTTTTATGTGAATAATGGAAAGTTATTTTTGTCTGTAATAAATTGTCGAAAATAATTTTTTTCTTTATACTCTATAGTGTTTATATCTTCTCCATCATTCATTACACTGTATGAATTATGATATGTCTTTGTAAAGTAACCCATATGTAATTCATGATTTATCATACCCAGAACAAGTTATTCATATTTTAGAAATACAGTGTAATATATTTGATTTGTGATGAAAAACCCACAAATGAATTTGATGATTCTGAGGACAATGAATCATAATTTTGAAGAACTTGTTATACAATCCATTCAATTTGTTATGTATTTCATTGCTTTACTTCTTTCATCATTTCTAAGCGAGGAAGTGAGTTTTCATGAATGTACAAATGATATTTGTATTTTTCATTGTAATTTTGGAAATATATTTCGAAAATATTTGATGAATCTGCTAACTTCAATAGGAATTAATTGTTTTATAGTCGGATCAAATTTGTCTCATAAATTTCCGAAAACGGAAATCAAACAAATAGGTTTTGTTCTTTGTGCAAACTAAGAAGCAGGTACAAATTCGAGGGAGATCTTTAATTCTTAAAATTAGGATTATTAAATAATTTCAAGCCATTCTGCTAGTATTAGCATATCAGAGGAATAAAGAAGTTAACTTTCGTCAATTAGTAGGATGCCAAGATACAAAAAATATAAATGGATAATTATGTAAGATGAATGAATGTAAAAAATAATTGAAAGTCAAATAACTTACCTATTGTGACCTGAAATATTACTTATTTAATAAGTGATTTGAATGTTTCTAGAAAAAGTAAGTATGTACTTTTTAATATACCTATTTTCTAATATTTTCACTCGGTAAAGTTTGAAACTTCAACATCATTAAAAAAATATTTTAACCACATTCAAGTAAATGATTGATAGTAGCAAAATAGGAAGTTACTTACTGGCGACAAATTTTTCCAAATGGTTTTACTTCAACTTTCTGCACTGCATTAGCTGGGTTAGTTATTTTTACGTCGGTTATTTGCCACACGTACCGGTACTTGAGCATATCATATGCACCTCTCCGGAATGTTTATCATTCTGACTCCTACACCGGAGTATGTGTTTGTTGAGTAGTTTCCTGACTTTTGTCTACAGGTGTCGCAGTAGTACGATCCTACTGAATCAACTGCAGATAGAGCTAATGACTAGTTGGAATTGATTTTTTTCGTTTGGGATACTCTGACGTTTCTCTGAAATGACCCGTCGGGTACTGACGAGGAGCTAGTACTCCGAAACCGGTCCATCGGTGGTCATCCCGACCAAATGAAATCAATTTCAGCTTATCATATTTAGGAATGTAGTCTGTATTGAATGTTATTCATAGGTGGAAGATGAAAATTCTTTCCCTATCTTTCTGAAAAGAGATTTGCAAAATTATCAATACTGAGAATAATTTCTGAGATGATTAAATGATTACACATCTGATAACAGTTGATACATACATTTTTAAGAGGATCATCATATAGGTATATATAGCCATAATTAAAACACTTATATATTTCGAAGTACTTTTCTGCACCTCTTAATTTGTGATCTGTGTCTTGTGTTCTTGATCAACTCTCATAACATCATTTTAGCATCTTATGTATTGTTGGTACTATCAGCAGGATAGGTACTTCAGTTGCTCCGTCATCCCCTGCCCCCCCCCATCGACGCGACGGTGTAATAGCCCATCGCTATGGCATGAATCCCATTGAGACCAGTGTCACTAAATAATTGCCCTACGATTGAAAACTTGCTACCAATCTGGACAAATTTTTCCAAATTAAGGATATCATCTGGTTCTTATTTCGTCTGAGGTTCGTGGATCCCTTTCTGTGACCGATGTAGTACCTACGTATTGGCTGTTGAATTTTTATTCGCATCTGTGATTTTATTTCCAGGGTTGGTGATCGAGTGTTGGATACCGGTGTCTTTTTCAGACATTGGCAACCTTTTGGCGCCGTTTTTTCAGATATTATCCCTCCGTCATTCACCCTCAAATTGTTGTCATTTTTTGCCCTCCTTATCCTACGAATATCGTACTCTTCTTCTGCAGTTGGTTGATCTATTTTTCGCTTACCGCATGACCTGAGCCATTTCTAAAGTCTATCTGTAGGTGCACGTGTGTTTTACAATTGTAGCAATACTTCTTTCTTCAGGGTTCGTTTTGTTTCATACGACTCACTCAATTTAGAGACACTTCGTATGAGCTTCGTGACTGTCTCTTCTTTCTTGCCTCGATCAAAGTCTCTACTGCCGTTTTGCACCATTGAGTTCTACGCAGCTAATATCGCAACATGTATCGTTGGGTGTCTACCTAGTAGCGGAACTTCAGAATTATTGAATTCGTTGATAAAGGCCTGTACTTCTCTGTAAATTACGTTGGAACTTGGAGGATAGTCTCTTTATATCTGCCTCATGTATAATGTCTTCTGTGGTTTTGGATGTTTGTTCTCGCCTTGGCTCTGGAGTACTTACTTCATATATTATCCATATCAGGTTTGCGGAGCTTTCACGATCTTTCGATTTGATAATCATCATGGCTACTTTCTTAAATATCATATATACAGTGGTCTGTTTCTCTTCTATCAAGCCACTGGCGTTGACAGCTCCCTCAAATTGTTGGCGGTACATAACTGTTCAATCGAAACTTAAAGGTTTCACGCTTTCATTTTGTTTTATTGGCGGTTTTGTCCAATTTCAATCTTCCATAATATCGCCTTTTACTTGTTGACTTTTTTGATTTTTTTGATAACAGTTGCTATAGAAACGGTCTGACATACCCCAACACTTCACTAGATATGCCGACAAGTTAAGAAAATGCCGTTATCGTTTGATCAGATCAAAAATGAATTCTGTCGATTACAATCTTTTCAACTCTCTGCCAAATAATACTACGATCATTTTAGGACAGTTCACGTCAGCTATGTCTACTCGAGATGAAACATACTCACCGGTATCGATTGTACTGTGGTAATCTATAACTACCCTTATTATCATAGGTGAATATTTATTCGTTTATATATGTATATGTAGGCAACCCCTGCGTTGCTTAATATTTTTACATTTTTAGAATTGACTTCTTTCTTTTATACGTTTATATAAGAATACCTATACACTTGACTTGCTACAAACATGAAAATGTAACGTAGTTATTAAACTATTCTATTTTATTGCCGTTGGCAAATTTCGTTCAGTTGTCGGACTATCTTTTTTTTGTGTTCCTGGACATATTGCCCTGGTGAAGATATTATGTTATCATGCAGAAATTAGATAGTTATGCTCAGTGTGATGGAGATGATGGCTTTCAAGGTAACTGCAGGAAAACTATGGACACCTTGAGTTTTTTGTTCTATATTTGTGACTGAGATCAACTTCTTCTTTTATATATTGGTTATCTCAGTATATATTGATACCATTGTTTTTAAAAATTCGATTGAAATTACAAATTACATTAATTAAAAACATTACCAAAATATTGAAACTTTCCATAATTGATAATTGTAGAACAAATCGAGCAGAAGTTAAAATATAGCTCATTTGTCACGATCAAGTATCACAGACCCATGCACTTTTTGTTAACATTGTAGCCAGCTGTTGCTACCTTGTTCTTCCTACATAATGCATAGAACAAAAACTCTTCATTATTCTTTATAGGAAATATTTTATTTATTTCAAGAAAGACACTTTACTTTTTCTTGGCAAACCTTTCTTGTGTATTTCGGAAGAATCACTCAGAGGCGGCTAGTGTACCTAATGTAGACTTGAGGACTTGCTGATTGAGTATCTAGATAAGCTTGTTTTGGACATTTTTTGGTTACATGTCCAAAGTTGAAGGAATTCAGGAATTTTACTTGCTCAGTCATCTGTTCGTTTGATTGATTCAAAGATAGGTTCAATTAGTCCTACCTTATTTTCTTCTCCTTT